CCGGAGAGGCACTGCCCCCTGGGGGGCCTGGCACCACTTGGCCAGGGAGCCGCTTGCGTGGCTCCCCCCAAAAGGGGCCATGGCGCAACGGCCCGCAGCTCTGCGTCCCCCGCTGGTCTCTGTTTCTTTTTTCCTACGAGGCCATCTCAAAACTTCACGTGACCAACATTCTGCTCGAGGGACGCGTGCTCCCTGCGGCATGCCTTCCTGGAGCTGCCATCCCCTCGTCTCACCTCGGCTTCAAAGTTGGGCGTTACAGACGCCAAGGTCTGCATTTCTGCCCAGCCCGCCCCCACCCCCGCTGGGCTCCAGAGCAAACCCCTCGGAGCTCTCGGACACCCGCAGTCCCCGGTCGGGGCCTGGACACCCTGCTTTCATGCTCTGGTGACCAGGGAGGTTCAGGCAATGTCAGCCAAGGAACATCACTGCCCTGCTCCTAGGCTTTACGGCAGCAAGCAAAGTGCTCAGTGCCTTGGTCCGGCTGTGCCATTTCTCAGCCGCCGTCCCGTAATGCAGTGGGTGAAAAAATTTCTTGCTGGGGATTTTCACCCTTCCTGTCTAACCATACACTCGTGCTGCTTGGCAGCCCAGCAGGTTTGCTCTGCTTTACGCTGCCCAGAAGAAATGCTTGTGATTGCCGAGTGATCCTGTCCAGACAGACAGACCTGACCCCGCTCCTGCAATCACCAAAAACACTCTCGCCCGCTCCAGCTGCTTTGGTTTGAGGCCTTGAGGAACTGGAAAAGCACTGAGATTTTCTGAGAGGTTTCGGTACCGTCATAGTTTCCCTCCAGCACAAGAGCAGTTTCTTGAACCCCCAACCCATCAGACTTTATCCCTTCATTTCCTACCTGCATGGGAAGACCTGGCTCTGTGGCATCGATAAAACACCACAACAAAGTACTCAAGGAAAAATCAAAAATGGATAAGGAGCTGAGGAAACAAGTTCCTCCTGGTCAAAAAGATTCTTGCTGACCACCGAGTTACTGGCGTTACTTCTCTCAGCCTGGCCTCGCGCTCCTTTGGCGTATACGTTTTGGGGCTGCTCCAGCAGACTCCGGCTAGGAAGCAGGTCTGGGAAAGGGGAGCAGATGCGGCAGGAGCTGCTGTGGCCGAGCCCCTGGGCTCTTTCCCCGCTCCCTGCGCCGCTGCAGCAGAGCTGGGGGGGGACGGGGTCGTTACTGGCGAGATCCCGGCGTGCTGACGGCAAAGCGCACCGCAGAAACCCTGCGCCCCACCAGCGAGCTCGGACCTTTGGCATTGCACAGATTAAATCGTGGCACAGATTAAATCAGGGCACAGATTAAATCATACCCTGTGCATCTTCACCTGGCGGATCTGGTGCAGCTGCGGGTGTTGAGGGAGGACTTACCCTGCGGGGACACGGCCTCGGCCAGGCGAGCCCCCCAGGTTCTCACGGAGCAGCGTTAGGGACGGAACGGTGACTTGGATCTCGTCTGTCGTGGAGCTGAGCCCCAGCCTGCCTCCGCCTTCCCCACACTCCCTGCCTCGCCCCGCTTTCCTGATCAAGCCCTGCCTCTTGCACCCAGACGGATGAAGGGCTGGAGCAACGCTCCTTTAGTTTCTCTTCTGCCTGTCTCACTTGAGACCCTCAGCCCATTCTGCTGGTCTGGGAATTACTTTTGATTAAGAAAAGCAAGCTGCCTCTGAACTGTTTTGAGCCTCCTCCACCACAGAGTCAGCGTTTATGTCACCACAGAGCGCAAGGGAAAGTACACGGGAAAACGTCAGGCTGAGTTACACCAGCTGCAACTAAACGCAGCTGCAGTTACTCCTTAGCAGCGGGGCTTCACTAAAAGTGCCCTTCGTGCTAGCAGCCAAACTGTTCCAAGTTTTCAGTCTGTGAGGTGCTGCCCTGACTGCAAGGAACCAAACCCAGCGTAGTCTGCCCCGGTTTTCTGCTAGGAAGGATGGAGTACGCTACTCACCGCAGGCGAAGGCGAGCAAGGCGACCGGCCGCACGCCCCTGCCCATGGCCAGCGTGGCTGCGGGCCTGGGAGCTGCTGCGTGGCTCCCTGCAGCGGGCGAGGGCAGGTGGGGCTGCCCGGGCACCGAAACGTTTCACTTGACGCAGGGAGTGCTCAGTCACATGGCTGGAAAGGAGGTGGAGGGAGGGGACACCGATGCTTCTGCCCGCAAGCTGCCACAGGAGGAAATAACCGATGGTTAGGACAGAAAGCGGAAACAGAAGGGGCTGGGGGGCGCCCCGGGGCGCCCCTCACCCTGC